GTTCGCCCTCTTGGCAGCCCTAACACACTGCAAAGATGGCTTCAGGGATGGCTCAATAGTAATTCCCAGGGCTTTTTATTCGTTGACGTTCGACAGGTACCCGCCATCAAGTACGTAATTGTGAGAGTCGCCCGTCGCGCTCGCCCTCTTCCTTTCGAGCCGCAATGTGACACACGTTAAACTGCATTAACCATTTTTGGACCATTCACCTAGGCGGTCAAGTCCTTTAGTCTACTGTAAGTATTGGATGGTTTCTATCTGGTCTGTGAGAATACTGAACAGCTGTTTCTTTCAGCAGAACGGGTTCTCATAACGTGACTTCAAACACTTCTCAAGAGGAAACTGTCATAGTTACAAGGTCCCGTCCGCACATTCTTAATCATAGGGGTCCCACATGAACACTATACGAGGGTCCGAGTTCTGTTGCCAAAAGATGTAGAATAATAACAATGCGTAACTGAACAAAAGGAAGTTATTTGACATTTGAATATGCTTATGAGCTCGTCGACCGTCCGTGTGAGGTTGGGCAACAGCCAGCTCCCCGAGGTTATTGCAGGGAAATTGATATAATATTCAGCCAGTTTATTGCTCCGTTTTGGGGGCTAAGAAGTAGTATGGGCATGGGGAAGACCAGACAGTACTACAATGCAAAGCATTTAAAAAGTTAGGCATGGAAATATGGGGCCCGCCCCCAATTACAGGTGATCTCGCGCTAAATTCCAGGGGCTCACTTACTCTCGTAATTCTCAATGCTTCGCCCAAGCCGACTGACTAGCCGGTATCTGCTTAGTAACCTCCGTGTTAAGTCAATAAAAGAGAAGGGGAGCGTATCCAAGGCGCCAAAGTAAAGTTTAACCACATTTTAACATACTCCTACTGTTATTCTCCTTAATAATTCTACTGTTGTTCTCAGATTTTCTCTCTGTTACGTATTACATAGATACCTTCAGAGGAACTCGTCAACATAAAGCTTGATGTGCTACAGAAGTACCGAAAGTATGTTATCGGTTGCGAGGCAACTTTGCATGATATGATCACTGTAAGTCACCGTTCTGCTTGTACTTTTTTACCTGTTACTTGCAAACTCTTCCTCGTATTGGACGAAGGCTTGAGCCGCAGCATTGAAATTAATATTAAACTGGTTGCTTAGATAATCAAAGTACGCGTGACAATTTAAATAGTTTTGAAAAGAGAGAGAGAGACAGGAAGAGACATAGCAATGTAAATATAAGTTCCGGTTTACTAACCACCTAAGGTTGCATCCGCTTTAGACACAAGCTCAATAGCAAGAGGCAACCGTTAGTACTTGAGCTTCCTTCTGCATTTTTGATAGTGCCACTTAACTTTACTTACTAGAAACCAGATGGACTCCTGCAAGAGTTCGAAAGCTCAGGACAATAGATCTATTTTTAAAAAGAAGTAACTTGCATAGTCACCCATTTTTATTGACTTGTAGGATGAGGCTGAGACCACTATTTTGACAGAAGTGTCGCCAACTGAACGCAAAGTACAAGAGTTGGAATTTGAACTGGAGAGGATGAAAGGCCTACTGGCCAGTTCGAATCCTGTGGATCGTGTACTTTGGCTGACCTTACCGGAGACCGTGGAGGTACTGCGTAACTTCTACCTCAAGGTAGCGGACATTATTCAGTACGTTCTGGTAACCCCATCCGTCTATCATTGACCTTTCCAGACCTTTATGATGTTGCTTCTGCCATGTTTCTTCGCCGGTGGTCTTATATGTATCACAGTCCCTTCCTCAGCCATAAAGTACGTAACTAACAAAGTTTTATTTCATAATTACACAACCTGTTCTCGACTACATCCCGAATAATTAAGTCAAATGCAAATGAAATTTGAAAAATCAGTTCCCAATATCATTTCGTTATCAGTTAGTAGGATAGTAGTCTGTACTCCTTGAAGTCTGAGGAAGGAAGCTGGTATTTTTTCTGCAATTTGTTGCTCATGAGTTCATTGTGCATTCGTCCCCTGGTATTCGCAGGGTTTAGGGCATGCAGTAAGCCGTAATTGGCTGATATCCGCGAATACGTGAACGCCCTCTAAAAAAATGTATAGCTTAATACATAGGTGTACTCCGATCTGGTCCAGGATTCATCAACCCTGGCTGCTTCGTCTGGCGAGGTGTTGACACTTCAATTTTCTCAAGGACGAAACAATTATGTTACTCGCTAACTTTAAGTAACCAATGTATTGCCGGCAAACGTTAGGATTGCGAGATACGCGTATTTCTGGCTCATCTACATCCCGATCGACAACCGGCAAGA